GCTGGGTGATGACTTTGGGCAAGTTGTTTAACTTCTTTGGATCTCAATACTTTCATTTTAAAGGATGGGAGTAATAATTCCTATTTTGTATTGGGACTTTGAACAAGTGATTTTACTTCTCTGAGCCTCTGGCTCTTTATCTCTAAAGTATGGATACAATATTACTCACTTTTATATGATTGTGGTGAGGAGTGAATAAAATAATGCATGTAAAGCATTTAATACAACATTTAAGTAGTAGGTGCCCAATAGATGATTATGATGGCGATGATGGTGATGACAGTGATGGTGATGATGATGATGGTGACGGTGACAGTGATGATGATGGTGATGATGATGATGGTGATGATGATGATGGTGATGATGATGATGGTGATGGTGATGATGGTGATGGTGACAGTGATGATGATGGTGATGATAATGATGATGATGGTGATCATGATGATTATGATGCGATGGTGATGGTGATGATAATGATGATGATGGTGATGATGATAGCGATGATGGTGACAGTGATGATGATGGTGCTGATGATAGCGATGATGGTGACAGTGATGATGATGGTGATGATGATGATGGTGATGATGGTAATGATCATGGTGATGGTGATTGTAATGTTGGTGATGACAGTGATGGTGATGATGCTGGTGATGATGGTGGTGGCGATGATACTGATGATAACGGCGATATGTTGATGGTGACAATGATGATAGTGATGATGGTGATGGCGATGATGATGATGGTGATGGTGATGATGATGATGGTAATGATGATGATGGTGACGGTGATGATGATGGTGATGGTGACAGTGATGGTGGTGATGATGATGATGATGGTGATGGTGATGATGATGAAGGTAATGATGATGATGGTGATGTGATGATGATGATGGTGACAATGATGATAGTGATGGTGATGGTGGTGATGGTGATGATGGTGATGGTGATGGTGATGATGATTATGATAGTGATGGTGATAATGATGATGGTGATGGTGATAATACTGATGATAATGGTGATGATGCTGATGGTGACAATGATGATAGTGATGATGGTGGTGATGATGATGATGGTGATGGTGATGATGATTATGTGGTGACAGTGATGGTGATGGTGATGATGGTGATAATACTGATGATAATGGTGATGATGCTGATGGTGACAATGATGATAGTGATGATGGTGGTGATGATGATGATGATGATGATGGTGATGATGGTGATGGTGATGATGGTGATGGTGATGATGATGATGGCTATGGTGACAGTGATGGTGATGATAATGGTGGTGATGAAGGAAGAGGAAAAAGGCCAGGAGCAGAGGAACCAAGTTGAAGAGAATGAAAAGGAGAGAAAAAAAGGAAAGACCAACTGGAGGCCACTGTGTGCCAGGCACTTTACATTCATCACTCATTCAATTCTTCTAGTTATACCATGAGTCATACAGTAGCCACCCCATCTGAATTTTATGACTGAAGAAATAGAGGTCAATGTTATGACTCATCTGAGGTCACTCAGCAGATAATATTAGAGCTGGCATTTGAATATTCAGCTCTGAAATTTTCTTTCTATTCTAAGATTTCTCATAGTGTCCAGCACAGTGCTTAGTATACAGTAGCTCAATAAATGTTAAATTAATCAGAATTTATTTCTTAAAGAGTTTGTATCTCTTTAAATTATGCTTTGAGAGTTGATGCAAGGCCTATGGCCCATTTCTTTGAGAGTCCCTAGTGGGGAAGTTCGTCTTCCTTCCAGAGTGTTCTAATTATTCTATCATCTCAAGTAAGCCCCCAATTCACGCTTCTGTGTTCAGCTCCTGGGGCCTGAGGTTGGGACTCTGCAAACCCACTCTGCAACCCCAGCTGCCTCCCGCCCGGCTCTGCCCCTAGTGGGCGCTAGAGGAAGACTGCCAGGCCGGAGGGGCGGAGGAGCCTTGAGCTTTCCCTTGGGCTTGCAGGTCCTGGGCTGTCCCCCAGCCAGCCCTGGCCCTTCCTCCTGGCAGCCCCACTTGGTTACCGCCTCCAGTTATTTCCAGTGCTCCCCAGACCAGCCCCCTCACACTCCCTCAAGATGTCAGGGCCAGCTGTCCAGGCCTAGCTCCGTGGGACCCTTGTCTGAACGCCGGGTTCTGCTCCCCGCACCTCTCCCCTCTGCTCCGACTGCCCTGCGGGCGCTGCTCCTTCCTGCCGTTACTGTCGCTGGTCATCTCAGTCCCTGTGGCCCCTTCAGTCCTCTAAGACCCGCCTCACCAGTTCCCTGTATTAAGTCCCGCCGTCAGAGGAACTGGCGTCGGAGCTTTCTGAATTTTGCCTGGACCCTGACGGACGCATGAGGTCAATTGATTCTGGGCAGCAACCATCCTTCAGTCCGCAGTCTTGCGGAAGAAAAAGAGGGAATCAAGCTGTCTAACGCTGTCTTGCATGAGACATGAGGCTTGGCTGTACAGTTAGGGAATGGATTTCCCCATATGACTTGTCCAGCTCTCTCTCTCTCTGCTCAGTTTTGGGTTTCTGCTTTCACAACCCTGACAGGCAAGAGTGTGGGCGCAATGAGAGGAAGCCCTGTACCCCAGAGCGCAGTGGGCAGAGCCCTTCCCTGGAGGCTGGACTTGACCCCTGCCGGCACTTCCACTCTGGCCTCGAGGGCCTGAGAGGCCCCTGCTTGCCCTTTAACGTCCGGCCCGGTGAGGGCCATAAACTCCTTCCCAGATTTGTTCTTAGAATAACAGAACCAGACTGAAACTGTCAAGAGGCTTCACTAAAGTCTAAAGAAAAACAACTGAGAAGTGAACAGGAAGAGGACACGAATTCAGGCAGCTCACCACCCAGGGCTTGGAACCTGCCTGCAGCCTGCCCCTCAGGAGCGTCCAGGGAGGATTTCTTTCCTGGGCCCCTCACCAACTAGCTTGTAGGTCACTTCCCAGAGACCAGGGCCACGCACCACCTGCTCCCAGGTGTCTGCCTGACTTTCTGCTCCTTTCAGTGAAAAGAATGCTGATCACGGTGAGTTAATTCAATTATTAACTTATTTAGCCACCGCACAAAATGGACACTATTCTTAGCCCCATTTTACAGATGACAAAACTGAGCCATAGAGAGACTAAGTAACTTTCCTGGAGTCGCTCCGCTGGTAAATAGCACACTGGGATTTGACTCAATCAATCTGGGTCCAGAGCCTCCCTCCTCTTACTCAAACCTCTGAGTTCTGCCTCACGGCTGGCCCTCTAATCCCGGCCGTTCACCATGCGGGGGCACAGACTTGCTCTTGTGCACTTCACTGACTAAGAGCTTATTTCTTCAACGAACAGCATAGATTTTTAGAAAATTCTTTATGTGGAGCTTGCATTTCATTTCTAGTTGCTTCTATCCGTGTTTCTGAAATTTCCTTTTAAAGACACACAGAATAAGTCTAATTTTCTTCAAAGCCAACCTAAGTCTCCTGAGTTTTCTCCCCTTCTCACATTGCCTGTGTTCATCTGGCTCCACCTTCTACTGGCAGAGTGACCTTGGAGCAGTTACGTACCCACCCCTTGCCTCAGTTTCCTCATCTGTAAAGTAGAAATCAAAGGAATTTGTACCCATGAAGCCCCCGGAGCAGTGCTGAGCACACAATATTATTCTGCAGCCGCAACCTTCCCAGTCTTTCAAATGGGGATGACTCTTGGATGCCCTTGCTTGGTACGTGGTGTGGTGGTGCGGAATCAGCCACGGATCTGTGGTCCTGCCTTCTGTCTGTCCATCTCCACTGCCCCCTCCTCAGACCCCATCAACCCCACCCTGAGGACATACTCAGCCCAACACCAGTTTCTGGTCTTGCTGGACCCAAACCCTTCTTCTTAGAGTCTGCGGTGCTGTTGGTAAGTCACAAACCGCTTGGGCCCCTCCCCTGCTCTGATCCCTTCTGCTTCTCCTGGCCTGCGTGACAAGGTTCAGCTCCACAGCTTGACTCACTAGGCCCTCCTTGCTTTGTCCCCTGCTGGCCTCCCCGCCTCTCCCCTCCTCCTGCTCCACTTTTAGCCAAACGAACCAGCTCCCAGGTCTCTGAGCCTCTCCTGACTTTGAGCTGTACTTGCCTCGTGCCTGATTCCCCAGGGCCTGGCACTGCGCTTGGCACACTTGGAAACCGTGGTGGCCGTGTGCTCCGATGGGATGGTGCATGGAAGCGAATGCTCTCTAAGCCACTGCGGCATCGGGGTCAGCTCAGGCCGTTATTTTTACCAGGGGTCATATTCAACATGATTGTCTGGGCGGAGAGCAGCGTCCCGGAGGCCTCCTGACCTGTGCCAGGCATTAACCCTTTTGTTGCTGGGAGTGAGGAGGTTCTGGGGTCCTGGGGCTGGGGCAGCAGAGGCTCTGGGGGGGGGCATGCATGTGACCAACTGGGATAGAAGCATTTCTGTGTCTTGACAATTGGTACAGCTTGACCTTTCTCCTGGAACTCTCTTCTTCTCCCTGGGCCCTGCTTCCTTCCTCTCTCCCCAGAACCCCCGGGCCTTGCCCTGTTGCTCCGCGGCCCACCCCCAGCCCAGCACTCTCGGGAGGCTTTTATTGTGAAGGCTGCACAGGGCTGCATGACCCGTTTTTCCCCCGAGTTTGTCCACAGGGCTTGGAGAGCCTCCCTCACCACATGGCACTGTGGACGCCCATCTGGCCTGGTTCTTTGGCCTGAAGATCCCTTGCCCCCAGGACCCCCAGCCTTGGCATGGGGACATGGAGCTCAGAGCCTGCTTTCCTCGTCTTTCCCCCGCATGGGGCAGCAGCAAAGCAGTGACCCAGCACCTGAGACCTTCATCCAAATCAGCTTACACATTGGCTTAGAGCCAGTGAGCCACATTTGAAAAATGAAGGGTGTTGTCGCTCAGGTGGGGAAAATTGAGAGTCCTTGGCTTGGTGGGAGCAGGTGACCTTGCTCTGGACACCCAGCCTCTCAGGGCCTCTGGGTCCCCATCATTCAGGTAGGATGATAGTCTCCGAAGGGGATAAGCCCCTCTCCTGTGTCTGTCACTTCGTGTTGTCCATGGAGCCCCATGGGCTAGCTTGTTGGATGTCGTGGGGTCTGTGGAAAGCATCTGTGAATATAGGACAGAGTTTGAAATGTCTGCAAGGGAAGCATCAGGAAATGGTTAAGGTGAGCCTTCCACGGGGGCAATTGCCCTGCGAGTTGGTGTCACTTTGGCAGTTCTGAGCCTCAGTTTCCTTGTGCATAAAATGAGGCCGGTAGAGCCCGAAGCACTGAATGAGCTCAGGTGAACACCTGGCCAGGCCCAGGTCCCTGCACCTGGTCCTGCATCAGGTGGCGCTCTGGCTCTGGCGGGTGCCCCAGGCCATGTGATGTAGAGGAAGGGGCAGGTGTTCTGGAATGAGAAGAATGGAACTCTAGTCCCAGCCCACCTCTGTGACCTAGGACAGTGCATTCTCCTCCCCAAACTACAGTTTCCTCATCCGGGAGAGGAATAATGTAAAGAAAAGGAATAATAAAAAAAAACCCACACAATGCAAATTTTCAAAAGCGAAATGCCTGCTCTGGGCGTCCTTGGCGGAGAGGGTAGCAGATGACTTCCTAGTTCAGGAAAACACCTTGATTAAGTTGTGTGGTTTTTGTTAGAACTGAGAAGCCTCCTGGTCACAGTCCGGGCAGAAGATGTCAACATGTACGGAAAGCGAGGAGCTACTCTGCAGAAAAAGGTACAGGCGTTGGTCTCTGCCCCCTCCTGAGCACTTGCTGACATAGAGGAAAACATGTATAAAAACTGTGATCCCACGAGGACAAAGAGAATAGAAAAGGCATCGACGGGAGAGCAGTGCAACACGCTGCAGAGGCGGGATTCGGGTGGAGGGAGGTGACACATGCAGAGGGCGGGAGACCCGTGACACCAGCAGCAGTGCCATCGAAGAGGAAGTGAGTGCGCCAAGAGTCCCAGAAGGTCCGACCGAGGGGAGCAGCTGGCGAGCACAAGGTGAGTTGAGGGCCGGCAGCCCTCGTGCCCCGGCAGGAGGTTTATCCTCTGGAGACAGTGGCGGGGGACGCTCAGCACACCCAGGGCACCGGCAGGGCAGGGATGAGACACAGGGTATCGCCTGGCCGTCGGCACAGAATGGTCAGAGCATCCTCCCAGCCTCAGCACACCCCAGCCTGCTCCTACGTTCCAGGCGCAGAGTGTCAGCTGCCAGGCCAATTACTGGAACATTTACTAAAGAAGAAGACTCACACGTGCTTTCACCTGTGGGGCGCCCAGTAGCAGAGCGGCTTCCTTGCCCCAACCCCCAGACGCATGTGTGCGTGCCTGTGCCTTTAAGTGCACTGAATTCTCACTTACTATAAGAGAAGACCAATACGCAATATCTAAAAACCAATCAATAAATCAAATATAGCAATAAAAGCTTTTACTTTAGAAATATAGAGGCATATATATGGCAAAGGTTCGAGTAGTTCCTGTGAGGGTGGACAGAAGACCAGTGCTCTTCTTTTTGCCGTGAACAGAGTGCCTGTGTTCTCGGTTCAAACATCTGCAGGTCAGGGAACAGGGGCAGAGTCAGAGCCACGGGGACGGGAGCGGAGAGTTGGGAGGGAAGGGCCGTGATCGCTTGGGGGAAGAGGGTCGGTGCATCAGGCCACGGAGCAAGAGAGCAGGGAGGAGTGTCCTATGGCGGAGGTGCGTCATCCCTAACCCGCCACCCTTCCACACGGGGCAGTGCAGAGCCTGGGAGGCGGAGGGCGCAGCGGGCCTGCGGCTGCAGAGGAGCAAGGGAAGACACGACCCTTCTTCCCTCTCCTACTAGAAGAAGGGGACTCTTGGAAAGAGTCTGTGCGGGGCTGGGGCGCAGGGGGAGATGGTCGGAGAAAGTCTAGGTCCTGCTATTAAGAGGAATGGGGAGGGGGCGACCCTCCTCCCACAGCTACGCTGGGCTGCTCTGAGCATCAAATGTCATCCTGCAGGTGAAGCCCACTCTAGGATCGCCATGACAGCAGTAACACTGTGATCTTTCTCGTCCCCCCAGGGCTCTAGGGGTCCCCCAACAATCCTACTGCCTCGTCTTGAGCACCTGCTGTGCACCCTGCAATGCCTTTCCAGTGGATGGCGCACGGACGCTTGTGGGGGGGATGGGAGCTGGTCAGGCAGGGAGAGTGTGGAGAGGCATCGGAGTGTGCAAAGGCCTGGGCACAACGGGGTGACACTGGTTCTGGGAACGTGGATAAAACTAGAAACTGGAATCGACCACTCCTGCAACCAGCCAGCAAATACAGAGCAAGGTCCCCCTCCTCTCCATCCCGCCAGTCCCCCGCTGTGCCCCTGTTGGCAGAGACTAGCAAGAATCGCTGGCAAAGCAGATGTGGTGTGGAGTCCCAGCCCCAGCACCACAGAGCAGAGGATAGAAGGCAGGTCTGGAGCTGAGAGGAAGCAGTTCAGTAACCAGCCCAGAGGCATGACTGCCTTTAGACTCCTGGTCTGAGCAGACCTGAACCGCTGTCTCTGAGCCAGTGCGGACCTGGTACCTGGGAGCGTCTGTCTTCTGATACTGGTGGGAATGCAAAAGGGTACAAGCACTTTGGAAAACAGTTTTCTCATAAAGTTAAAAATGCATCTACCATACAACCCAGCACCTTACGCCTAGATATTTACCCAAAAGAGATGAAAGCACATGCCCACACAAACATTTGTGCTTGAATGTTTGTGGCACCTTTGCTTTGATAGCCTCAAACTGGAAACAACATGCCCTTCTGCATGGAAAACAAATTGTGCCATAGCCATATGATAAAATACTAGTTGGCGATAAAAAAAGATAAATTACTGATGTACATGCCAACACTGATGTATTTCAATGACATTATACTATGTGGGAAAAAAATAGTCATGAAAAATTTCATACTCTATGATTCAATTTGTCTGAAATTTCAGAAACAGCAAAATAGGGTGACGGAAAGCAGATCAGTGGTTGCCGGGCCTGGGGGAGGGGGAGCAGGTAGGCTGCGAAGGGTCACAAGGGGTCTTTTGAGATAAAGGAAATGTCCTATATCGTCGTGATTATGGTGTTGGTTACACAATTGTCAAAACCCATGGAATTGTGTATTTTATTAAGAAGCTGGTAAATCTTTATTGTATGTAAATTATACCTTGATAAAGCTGATTTTTAAAAACTGAGTTAGAATGCTGTTGGAAGTGGCACTTTCTCCACTTGCTTCTGATGCCACGCTCCTATGAGCCCTTCTCCAAGCACGAGGCCAAGGGATCTTGCAAAAATGTAAATCCAATTATATCACTTCTTATTTAAACACTGGAATGGTTTCTCTTTCCTCTTTGAATGAATCCAGACCACCACTGCAGCCTACCAGTGCATCTGCCCTGTTTACTGACCCCGAGACCTACCGGGCCTGGAGCAATAGTGTCCAAGTACTCTGATTCTAAATATGTACAGGTAAAAATCAAGCCAACCAGCTGCTAAAAAGCAAGTTCTATCCTCCCACCTTGACAAATATACCTTCATGACAAACTGGAAGCCTAGGTTCAAATTTCGAATCTTCGACTCCTTGGAGTTCTTTCTGTGCCAGAAGGTGATGTCACTGAGAGGCAGACGCTAGGCCACGACCTACCCTTGCCACTCTACCCCAGGCTCCACGTGAAAGGTCAAGCCTACCATCCAGGCCCCGTCGAACTGGTGTTTGCAATCCCTGGGGACCAAAGATGGGATCGGAGATAGAATCAGGGCAACGGGATGCTAAACATGTATCTCCTGCTTTCTCCCCAAATAGTACTTGTTCTGTGTGTATCTGTGTGTACATGTGTGAGCATGTGTGTGTGTGTGCACATAGGTATGTAAGCGTGTGTGCCTGCATGCATGTGCATGTATGTGCACATGGGTATGTATATCTGAATTGTGCATGTGTGTTTGTGTCCCTCGATAGCAGTGTGAGCTACTTGAAGGCAGCAATTTTGTTGGATTCATCTCTGTATCCTTTATGCCTGGTACAGAATGGATGCTACATAAATGCTTGTGGAGTGAATAAATGAATGAATGAAGGCCAGTATAGCACAGTTATTAACAGTGTGGGTTTCGAAGTCAGCCCAATTTGAGGTCCACATCTTACTCTGCCACTCACTGAGTCAGTCACTGTTTATTCTCCTAATCCCGCTGCGCCTCAGTTTCCTTGTCTCCAAAACGAGGATGAGAATATTGCCTATTTTATGGGGGTTGGTGTGAGGATTAAGTAGCAATAATCAGAGCCAACATGTACCCAGCTAGACTGTGGGCCAGGCACCCCGCTAAGTAAGGGCTTTGCAAATGTTCACTCTCGTGCTCCCCTGGCAATTCTGTTGCAGGGTGTAGGGGTGGTACAGTCAACTCTCATGCATCTTGGCTGTTGCTGTATATGATCAGGGGAGAGGAGAGCTGGGATTCTCAGCCCTTGGGGCGTCTTCTCCTGAGTGCAGCTCGGATTCTGACCCACGGGACCGTCTGGAGAGGTCAGTCCATCCAACAGGCAGAGAACTCTGCCCCGCCAGCTACAGCTTGGCCCTCTGGTCATCACAGCGAAGCTCACAACATTCACCCTATAGGTGGCGCTGCAGAGCAGGAACTCGGCTGTCGAGTCACGGCGCCCCCTGGTGGTCCATTCCCATCAACATTTTTCCACCAGTGAAGAGCTGGTCACCATGCCCCCGCGTGGTGACAGTGGATGACAGACTTGGGAAAAGTTTAGAATTGAATGTAAGGTGTGCAGAGGGAGATGGGAAAGGGACCAAGCCACACCAAGGAAATTATCATCGAGATTAACAACATTAACCCCTATAATTTACTGACCACTACTATGTGCCAGGCATTGTCCTGAGCACTTGACATCCTTGCCTTATTTAACACACCTCTAGTAGGTAAGTGTCACAAGAACAATGACTTTATTTCATTTGCAGCCTGGCACACAGTAGGTGTTTTTCACATAGCAAGTGCTCAACGCATTTTGAATGAATGAATAATACAATAGTCCTATGAAACAAATATTATCATCTCCATTTAGAAAAATGAACTAGGAAGCTGATGGTTGGAGAGGTTGCAGGGCTAGTGATTGACAGCCAGGACAGGTGAGTCCCAGCCCCCGCTATGCTGTGCCAGGGCTTCCAGAGAAGCCCTCTGCCTGCAGGGAGCTTGCTGTCTAACCGGCCGCCTCCACACCCTCCCTGTCTCCCAATACCGCACGGGGGGCCTGCCAGGGATGGCTATTTATGGCTCAGGGAGGAGGTGCAGTGAAGGTCCCCTCATAAATTATACAAGCAGACACATGTGGGTCAGGATTGGGGAATTCGGTGCGTGAGGGATCCCCAGGAATCTTGCTTAGTCCAATCAGGGATTTTCCTTCTCTTCCCCAGGAGAGTAGCTGGCACAGGCGGCGGGCATTTGCTGAGTGCCCGGAATGAGCTCCCGGGGCCTCTCCCTGTCCTGCAGAAGTTGCTCGCCTCCCCCACCTCCCCCATCACTGCGCTCCGTTCCCGTGGCTGGATCTCAGAGGCAGGCTTCCTTATCTCCAAAAGGGGAGCAATGTGTTCCACTGTGTGCCTCAGTGCCTGCATGTGGGAGGTTTGAAAGGTGCTGTGCATTTTTGTGATTTGCACATCCAGTGCCCACTGAGCTCTGGGGACCTCCCCCCAGGTAGGATGTGAGTGTATTAAACCTTTTCTGGGAGACGTGGTTATGAAGGGACTTCAGTAGCTCAGGTAATGCAGAGACGCCCCTTCTCTGAATGGCCCCTGCTATTTGGTTTTGAGTTCTTCAGTCCATTTTTTTTTCAGCATTCTTCATGATTGTCAGGTCGCCACTTAACTGTCATTTGCTTCTGACGCCCCTAGTAGTTTTCTTCTTCCCTGCAACTGGCTGCTTCTGATCCCTGAGTTGTCAGGTTTGGGGTGCTCTCAAAGGAACCAGGCGAGAAGGGGGACCAGAGGTGCTTTCTTCTGTGAATAAAATATGCCAGCTTCCATGCGTGGACTTTGAGCTGCCAACTCCCATCCTTCAATGCCTTGTTGTTGTTGTTTACTCACAGGCTGTGGGGAGCGGAGATTATCAAAAGTTAGGTCTTTGTGTGCAAGAGGTCACTTGAGGCATTTCTTTGCACCTACCCAGAAAGGCTCAATAAATACTTGCTTAATGGAACGTGTGAAGAGGTTGGCTCCCCTTCTAGGCTATTCCTCTGCCCCCTCCACCCCCTGCTGCAGCAGCAGGATGGGAGCCCACTGCTGACAGAGTGTCTGGCCTCAAATTACACCATATCAGAGCTCGGGCATAAAATTAGCAGCAGTGTCCTGTGTATGAGAAACCAAAGAAATACCTGTATTCAGCAGAACTGCGGGCAGGGACAGAAGGCAGGGAGCGAGAGTGGGGGAGGGAAAGACGTGGCCACCACAGGCTCC